GTCGATTGTAATCAATCATCAATTCAGTAGTTTCAGCTATTCTTTGTCACCTATTTACTAACAGAGATGAACTGTAAATTTACTTCTAAGGTGTCTACCTAAATATGGGTAAAGGAAAACCGTTGAAAAATTCTGAGATCAAATGACAAAACTGTCCCTGATCAAATTCATCGTTAACTGGGCGTTAACCCTTTTCTGTTTTCTGTTTTTGAAAGCAAGTAACATTTACTTGGAATTAGTTAAGGTCATTTTAATCTTAAGCAAGTAACAATGCACGCAATAAATGACAAAACATCACTATAGATATCCAGCTCACTAGTCCACTCAATGATTGCTTTGCCCTAAATTCTCTCAGCCTCGAAATGTTCGTTTACAGCTTTCACTGTTGGTGTATCTTCGTTTACAGATATAAAAGAATGCTCAAATACAAGTGTTAGCTGTCCTCCTGGAAGAAATTGTACAGAGACCTTTGGCGCGTACCAATGCACTTGCGAAAATGTCACCACATTTGGCCAGAATTGTACCAAAGGTAGTGAAATGTCGCTTTTTCATTTCTTTTAGCGAAAACAATCCGTTTACCTATAGACGGCCAGATATCGGTAATTGAAATAGATTAGATAGACAGAATTTGGTAATTAAAAAGCCTGTTAGCTATGTGTTGATACAGTCAAAATATCGACGGGGATTATCAATTTTTTCAACGCAAAAAATCGTACTCGTAGTTAAAGTTCCGTTCGTCTTTGCCGTTAAGCCTTTTTTTTAATTTAGTATTCCCAATCACTCGCCTTGCTGTTCGTGAAGAAATCACTTGAAATTAAAATGACTTAAGATATTCGTCACAAACACAATTATCTCCCCAAAGAAATGTGTGTGTCTGTGTTGTAATACATGTATTTGATTCTTCCTTCATTTCTGCGGTTATTTAGTAAAAATATACATACACTGTAAGGTGTTTTCATGTTTCGCCCGATAAGGCGGTGAGTTATATACCATCACAAATCACAGCCGGGTTAATCACTTTTACGCTTGTGACCGTTCCTTCTTGTTCTTTCTCCTTTGCTTTATCTTTCTAGACGGTAGCAAGGATGCAACCATTATTTTCCTGGTGGACACCTCACGCAACAATGGCCACGATAATATTGTACTTCAACTGGAGTTTGTCATATCCGTAGCATCCACTCTCTTCTATGAGAATATTGGAGTTATCGCATATTCAACCGACGCACATTTTGTGACCAGTCCGGGCAATTCATCCAATTTTACTGATTTTGCTCAAACTCTCCGTACGTTTAGTTACACTATGGGCATCATGACTAATGTGGGAAAAGCATTGGACAAAGCAAAAGAAGAAGCACAGTTCTTCAGTTCTTCCAAGGCAACTATTATTGTCGTTCTGGTAGCCTGGAAGTCAAACGATGAACTGGGGATACCTGCCTTTGAACTAAAGAACAGCAGTGTGAATATTATTGCATTGGGATTAGGATTGAACTATCTCGTGGCTGATTTATATCTTTTGGCCAGCAATTCTAAACCTGATTATATACTGACGGTGCAGTTTGGTGATTTAAAGACATTCGTGACAGTTACAAGGGATAAAATATATCAAGGTGTGGAACATAACATCAACTGTTCAACGTTTTATTATTATTATTTATTTATTGATTGATTTTTCTGTGAGGAAACGTTTGATTGATGTACCACGGGCCGGAGTTTTGGCATATGAAGTTGAAAATATCGTTACAAATTACTCCCCTTTTTTAAAATGGCGTCCATCTTGGATTGAAAATGCAGTCTAATCTTAGCCAGTTTCGTGTTTTAAAATTGCTTTTTCTTGTCGTATAAAATGTGTGTTAATATTAATGATATATCTCTTTTAATATGATTGATGGTCCTTTTCTGTCACTTTAGTTGCAAATCCTTGCTCCAGTGCTAACTGTAATCCCGGGGAAAGATGTGTCAGTCTATATGGAGTTAATGCAGGATATAATTGCATTCCACGTAAGTCAAGTGCACGATCGATTTGTGTAGATTGAGGGGAAACTTGAACGCCTACTGAAAAAACAACAACAACAACAACTGATGCTCTTTGGCATAAGTGAAATTGACTCTCCATTAAGTTTTAGGGATGCTGTGTTCATTATTTGACTTGATCGAGTGCCTCGATCACTTTTATAAGATAGTGTTGTTAGATTCTGTGAAGCCCGGCGAGAGAATTAGCTCATGTGAAGTAGATTATCATCAACTTCAACGTTTAAATCGATATTGCAGTCACAAATAACATTTCAAACACATCTTATCTTTACTTGTCAAAGGTACACCAATAATCGTTGGGTGCATGGCTTTTAAATTGTAACCAGCCTTTGAATACCTTGATAAAATCCCTCTTTTGTTTTATGTAACTATCTGATTTCAAAATTAAATAGATACTTTCTTTATATTTTCATTTGTAGCGGCAAGCGTCTGTTATCCCAACCTGTGTAAAAATGGAGGAAACTGTACTATAACCGGTTACAGTTCTTACAACTGTTCCTGTCCACGTGGAATAGGAGGGGAGAATTGCACGGCAGGTAAGTCACTGTGGTTAATTAAGTTAATATCTGATAATAGACTCGCAATTATACTACCTTAGGACAAATATTTGTAGACCGTATCCAACTGTCCAAATATAGCCTTACCGGGCTGTCTTTTTACCCCTCACGCAACCACGGGGTGGAGGAAGGGGGACTGCGGACTGGCTCGTTATTTTCATATAACCCCTAAAACTGCATTTTATTTCCTTTTTAAAGATATTTTTAATGATTGTCTTTCGGAGCCTTGCCAAAATGGAGGATCCTGTGAAAACCTACTTGGTGATTACAGATGTAATTGCACATCAGGTTTTACCGGAAGGCAATGCGATATAGGTATGTACTACTGGATTTCCTTACTAACCCTCTTAGCCCTAAGAGTGATCAGCATCAACTTTCTCCTTGTAATATCAAAGCTTTGTAAAACAGAGTGGTGATAAGAAATACGGAAATGATCACACAAGATGAATTTGCTTGATATTTAATCAACTTCTTCCCATTACTTCTGTAGAAAATGATAGGGGCAACAAATGAGAATTTCAAATTTTGATTGTAGGGTTTAAAGGTTTGAATCGACTTCCAGTTATTCAATTTACTTTATTTAAGTTATGTAGATGTAACTACAGTAGGTAGTACCCTACCCTGGGGGTACCCGCAAGTGGCCGCTCATTAGAGGTTCGTCAGAAATTAGCATAATCGTTAGCAGAAACATCACTGTATTTTGAAACAAATGCGCGACGGGGGAAACAATTTACTGGTCTACAATCGGTTGTCACCTTCTATTTGGGACTGTATTTTCCTTTATCATATTCTTAACATGAAGCCAAACTAAGTGTATCAAGCGCTTGATGGTTCATTAATAGAGGTGCCAATAATTGGTAAAGGCTCTTTGGGATAGCCAAATGATGACCGCGGTTTATTAACTTTCTTTGTTTCATGGACTGTTGTTAGGGTCAAGTATATTGTTAAGGACGTTTTGTTATCCCTTGTTTTACACCAGCTGTGTAGAAAAAAAATGCTTCACAGGAGGTTAGAAACAACAAACTAACAATCTAACAAAAACAAAATAGAGGCATCGCAAAAAGAAGATGGTTATAAAACCCTTTCACAACAGCTTTACCAATGCCGCCATTTTGAAGAACACGAACGTTTGGCACGTTGAACTCACTTAGCAATCTACATCCTCTCCCTTACTAGTTGTGAGCTTCATTGAGGAAAAAACAAAGAAATGAAATGAATTAATTATTTAAAATATAAAAATTTAAAAAAAAACATTAAGGATAGGTGATTTGGGCTTCCAAAAAAGCCTTTCTTTTGGCTGCAAATCTGTGTTTAGTTTTAAATAAGGTTGTACGTTACAAATATATAGGCTGCACATGTTCTTTCCTTACTATCAAATTGTAATTGTATCATTCTCATATTATGGTATTTTGATTACTTCTTTCTAGTCTGCTCATTCCAGAAGTTCAACTTGGTGTTTCTAGTGGATGGGTCTGGTAGCATTGAAGGGCAGGGGTCTGGGAATTTCCAACGCGCGAAGGACTTCGTGAAATCTATTATAGAGGAGTTTGACATTAGCAGGGATGGCACTAATATCGCTTTCGTGCTTTTTGCGTCTAGCGTCCAAGTCGTCTTTTCATTAAATGAGTTTTACAACAAGGCTGACATGCAACAAGCCGTCCAAGCCGTACCGTATCCTGCGGGCGGTACAAAAACAGGAGCAGGTTTGTATGACCCTATGCGTGTCTCATCGATTGATTGATTGATTTGTGTATTTTCCATAAGGTGGACGCCAACCGCAAAAAAGTACCAGATAGAAAAGATGCTGATATAGAGAAGAACTTATTAGGCCCCCGAGGCAGTTATCTGTGTCTTGGCTATATCTCAGTAATGTAGCTGACATTTGACGGTGATGATTATGATGATGAAGACGATAACGATGATAATGATGATGAAGACGACGATGATCATCATTATTATTCTTATTTCTATCGTCGCAGGTTTGGATGTGGTTCGCAGTCAGATTCTAGCCAATCTGGGTGATCGCAGTAATCTTACAAACATTGTTATTGTTGTAACGGATGGACACTCCGGTGACGACGTTCGAGCCCCTTCCAGTAGGCTTCGGGATATGAATGTGACGATAATCAGTGTGGGGGTGGGTTGCTGCTACGATATTTTTAACTTAAAGGATATGGCATCGGATCCAGACGACGATTACGTTTTTGAGGCTACTTTCACGACCTTGGATACGATCGTCGGTCGCATGCGACAGCGAATTTGCAGTGGTAAGTAAAAACGAGTGAAATATGAGCACTGGATGTGAACGACAAGTGCAGGCACGGTCAATAAAATACGTGTTACATGAGCAACAGATGAAAAAGAAAACTTTAAGATGTTTTGTATGTGAAAATATGGACTGATATTGCTTGTCTTCAATCAATACTTCGGCTGTAACAATAGCCCATGAGCCTTCGGCTTCATGGGCTGTTGACGCAGAGGCCATGAGGGTGAGAGGAATAATTGTTTCATTAAAATCCGAGACAAAACAACTTTAGCTAGAAAAACGCGATTCAGCCGCCATTGTTTGCGCTTTTCGCTACTAGTGGGCTATAACATATAGCCTAGTAGTAGCTCAACCAATCAGAACGTAGCATTGAGAATGGACCACTAGTTGTATTTTACTAAAACCTCTTACCTGGTAATTCTTCGCAGTATTCAAATTTCTTGTCAAAATTAGGCGTAATATTGCTCCCACTTTCTTTCCCTTTTGTTGTCTTTCCATTGCGCCCGGTTAAGGTATACTAGATATCAACCCTTTAACATGTTAACCTTTCTAGTGATGGGATAATTTAACGAATACGATGTACAAGGGAAAAAATTCCTCAACCTTGTGCCATAAAACTTCTCCACTATCCCCTCCACTCTTTTGTACTGCGTTATACAGTTGGCTTTGAAAATTAAGACGTAAATATGTGTCGCGAGCTCTCTAAGATCATATAAATACAGCGTCGTTTGAAACACGTGGTGGTTTAGCCACAAACTTAGATTTCACCAAAAAACCCGATTTAGTCAGAACGTTAAGAAACTAGACGTTTTAGACTTGAAACTTGTTATAATGCTTTTCTTTATTTAGCTATTGTTCTTATTCTTTGTACTTTGAATAGTGGTGGATCATTGCTCTCATAAACCTTGTGCTAATGGTGGAACTTGCACTAGTGAGCCAAGTGACTTTATCTGCAATTGTACAGCACCATGGACAGGAAAAGATTGCTGGACAGGTTAACTGTTTGAGTTATATATCTCATCTTGCAATCTATTTATAATGGTAATTGAACTGAGTGGAGTGCAATTTGTAGAGCGAATCTCATCATTTCGAGTGCAATTTGAAATAAATCAGCGCGGGCGGGTGCAATTTGTGGTCTGAAGAATTAAGGAAAGATTTCTGGACGCAGAATATTTGAGTCTCAATGTCCACTTGAAACTATAATATCTCCTTCAAGTCTCTCAAAAACTGGTGGGGGCGGTGTTCTTTGGTCCCATTGGGTCCAGGAAAAAAAAAAGAAAAAAAAAGATCAACATCTACTTTTCAGGGTCACACGCAGTTAGGATGCTAATACAGTACGTATGCATTCTCAAAACCATGTTTACTATCTGTATATGTCTACTTTCAACCTTTTGATAAATACTTTCAAGGAGAAATCGCCCACGCCATATCATCACATGTCACGCCAAATCAGTTAAACACTGTTATCCTCTTTACAAGATTCACAAGAAAGTATTGACTTGGACTGTTTTCCATTAGATGTGGACGAATGTGCCCTGAACATAACCCAGTGCCCTGATAGCCAGCTTTGTCACAACTTCCCTGGGGGATCATCATGTCTTTGCACTGATAGTCGGTACGGAGTCAACTGCTCTACAAGTGAGTACCTTAACCTTGCATCTGCACCCTTCCAAACAGCCCTTTTTCTTACAGGCAGTGTAATTGGTGTCCTCCATGACGATTGCCAGCAGTCAGATCTAGAGCACCATCCACATCCCCGTCCACGATGCAAGACGAAGTATCAAGGCAGTTTGGCGAACGAACCTCTAGCAATTTCGACGAAGGAGGCTCATCAGGGCCTCCTCGTTTTACGCTGTCGTACAATTTCTTTGAAGTTAAAGGCAACCAGGGTATTCACGGAAGGGGAAAATAGGGGAAGACCAGAAGCCGAGTAGTTGTTATGTGAAATGTCATTTGTATTAATTACTGGTTCATCACTCGAGATATTCTTATGAATACTTATCATTCAAATGTCTTTCTTTTAGATTGTAACTTCACAAAGATCGATATTGGATTTCTGCTGGACAGTTCAAGAAGCATAAATAGTCAAGGAAGAATGAACTATCAGATTCTGAAAGACTTTATAAAGGCAATAGTAAAGTCGGTTAAAATTGGTCTGAATGAAACCGAGTTCGGTGTGGCAACCTATTCAAATTTAAACAAGTTCCAACTACATATCAACTTCTCATCCTACTCAAACACCTCAGAAATTGTGGAGGCCGTGCAGAGAATCCCTTATGATGCTGGCGATACTTATACGGGGAATGGCTTAAATCGCATACGAACTAAACTGTTCTCACAATCTAGAAATGGAATTCCGAAGATTTTGATTGTAATAACTGATGGGCAGTCCCAGGATAGCGTTGAAACTCCTTCAAGCACTCTTCGTGCAATGAAAGTCCACATCATGTCCGTAGGGATCGGAGATGTGGTTTATGCAGAGCTGGAAAATATGGCTACAGATCCAGACAACCAAAACGTATTTACAGCAAATTTTAGTTCAATCCATGATTTTGTTGGATCCATCATTGAAAACAATTGTAGGGGTAAGTGCAAAATGTCCCTGGGTGGAGGTGGTTATTAATGGGTGTTTCTTGAGGGATTGGAGCCCCTACCCATCTTAACCCAAAGGAAGCGAAATTCGGACATCTCGGAGCTACCAAGAGTTTTACAAATGTTATACCCCATCTCAGTTCAGAATAGAAGAGGTTGTTGTTCTTATTGTTGTTAAATCTCAACGCTGATGAATATTAGTAAAACCTTGTAAACGTAAAACCGTAGTGATGCGTTATTAATGTCTCGTACGTCACCTTCACTTTAGTTGCAGATCCTTGTCAACCCCACCCTTGTCAGAATGGAGGCACGTGTCATGTTTTGGACGATCTGCTGAATTTCCGTTGCGAATGCCCCGCTGGTTGGAAGGGAACAACTTGTGAAATAGGTAGAACAAAACGATAAGTCTGTTTTCACCACCCGTGTTCGACAACAGAACCATAACGCCGAGTGAAAGCTGAGAAGAATATAACTGACGTTCGTTCTTGATAATAGATTGAGCTATTGGCCTCCAAAGCTTTACTATAATGTTTTGTTTTTTGGTCATTTCAACTTTTTACAGAAAAAGCATCTTTACGCTGAAAGTGGACCTGCTCGCGAACAGTCTTAAGTACGCTGTACAATTCCATTCTGAAAGAACAAGTAAGATGTCCCAATAGTAGGACAAATCGTTAATCAATTAAAAAAAAGTAGATCTCCGTTCAGATAGCTCGGTATAGGACAACAATAGCATTTGCACTGAAAACATTGTAAACAGGCTAATCTACGAAATTGTCACTCACTTTGCTCGAACACTTTTCAGATGTCGATGAATGTCAAAACAGCCCTTGCATCAATAATGCTCTTGGATGCTCGAATACAGATGGCAGTTATGAATGCAACTGTAACCAAGGCTATACCGGAAGATTTTGCCAGATAGGTAGGCTATTCCACTATATCAATCAATTGAACTTCCGATTCTCAGGTTCCTCATAGGTTTTGGGCATTTATTCCTTAGGTATCCTGAAAAATAGATTTGACGTTGTTCTTCTTTTGGACGGTTCTTCCTCCTTGGGAATTGCTCGTTTCCTACAAACCTTGTCTCTCGCAAAGGACCTCGTGTCACCTTACAACATTTCTCGAGAGAACACAAACGTGGCCGGTGCAGTCTACGCATACAACACCACCATCCACTTCAACCTCACACAGTATTTCAGCTACGCAGCTGTATCTTCCGCAATTGATCTAATTCCCTACCTCGACCAGTTACCCGCAAACCTTTCGTTGGCTATGGAAACCGTCAACAGAACGATCATCTCGTCCAGCCGAGAGAACGTCACAGTCGTGATAGTGGTTTTCGTAACCACCGCCTTGAGTGAAAATTGTCCAGTGTGTCAGACACTTCGAGACCAAGGAGTCAAAATAATCACGGTTGGTATTGGTGAAGATGTTGTAGACAGTCAACTGGTATCAATAGCCACCAACCCAGCCGAAGATTTCGTAGTGCTTTTCCCCTTTTTGCACATTCCCACGATGTCAGGGGTTGTAAGCGGAGCAATTGCTCAAGGTAAGAGATTATCTAATTAGCGGTACTATTGCTACCATTATTCTACTGTATTGTTATTGGTGCCAGATGCTTTTCAATCTCCACTTTCATTCCAATCATCATCATCATCATCATCATCATCATCCTCATCCTCATCCTCACCCTCATCCTCATCCTCATCCTCATCCTCATCCTCATCATCATCATCATCATCATCATCATCATCATCATCATTATCATCATCACCGTCACTGTCATTGTCATCATCATTATCATTATTGGGACAAAAATCATAAATAAAAACATATTTGCAAGCATCTGGATCTGTGCACCAGTTAGAGCCATCTCTTTGTCGATGTACATTGAATTAAATATATCCATCCCCTGCGAGTGGAGGGGATGGTTGCACGTACTATTTGTTGCCAAGCATAGGCGTGGAAACAAATAGTAGTGTCTTAGGCGATAAATCGGTCTTTCTTGCCAGGAAAGGGAATTGGAAGTAAAAAGATACAAGTTCTTTTCTTCTCTCTCTCTAAAGCAACATCTTTTCATTTTTCAGCTGTTGATTTGTGCTCCAAATTTCCTTGTCGGTTTGGAGGAACGTGCACGAGCACACCGAATAACTTCACCTGTGCTTGCCCAGTGGGTTGTCTAGGACTGACATGCGTTGTGGGTAAGTGTTATGAAACCTGTCACGTGATATGTTAAACCAACTGTGAGGAATGCTGCAGCAGAGTCGAAAGTTCAGAATTTTCTCTCCACTATAGTGAGTAAAACTAATACTGTTCCAAGTTTTATATCACAGGGCCATACACTTTTCAAGGTAAATTTAAGTATTACAGAATTTTAGAGAGCATCAACGAAAGAAAACAATAACTCGAACAAAAACTAAGCAAACAAAAACAAAATAGGGACTGCCTACAAAAAGAAAGAAAGAAAACGGAAACCAAGTGTGTCAACAGTTACAATGAAAACGATAGGTTAGGAGCGCACGCCAATAACAGTTCTCTGTCAAATACCTGACGATATGGACAATGTGAAGGAAAATTACTAGTCAGAGATCTTATTGTGTTTTCCAGACTTCCAAATTATGAAGCACTTTATATCCCTCCTGGTTTATATGTCTGTAGAGTTCTTTGACGTTCTCTTTCAGATCTGAATGAATGTCTTGAGGCTAACCGACCAAATTGCACCAATGGTACAACCTGTATTAATACATGGGGGAGTGCGGAATGCGTTTGCCCTGGAAATCGTTATGGATCGGCGTGTCAATATTGTAAGCACGGACTTTTTACCGTTACCCAAATTTTACAGTTCAGACCATAAAATTGCTAAAACAGCGACCTTAAATTTTAGTGCAACAATATATGTTAATGCTTGCTTTATGGTATTTACTATTTTAATATGATTATTTTTAAGGAGTTTTTGCATGTTCTTAATTTGATGTGATCATCTATGGTTAGTTGCATATTTAACAAAAAACGCTATTCAAAATAGGGTATAAGAAAGGTAATGGAGATAATAAAAATGATTCAACCTAGCAATACAGGAGTTGATCTGTGAGTTATAAATATAATTTTATGTACATGTCGGTGGAAGAGGATCACGATACTGTTGGCCGGATGCGGGAAATAAAGTTTGAAGTATGCAAATAATATTTTCCTATGCTTCCTATTACAGAGAACGGCGGAGAATCAATTTAGTCATCTTTTAGTTTTCTGAATAAGTTTCAGGGGAATCTGGTTTCTTTTTTTTTCTCTCTCTTTGATTTACATCTTCGTCTTTTAGATCTCGACACCAGACTAGACTTGGTGTTCCTCCTCGATTCTTCACTGCTTGTGACGCAAGACAACTTTACAAATTTCTTGTACTTTGTCCGAGGCGTTTCTGAGACCTTGAATGTATCTCGAGAAGAAACTCACGTTGCTCTAGTATTGTTTGGCGATGTAGCAGAAATCAAGATCAATTTCAATGATAACCTAAACCAATCTGCTCTGGAGGAGGCCCTTGATCACATTCCATATAAGGCCTACCTTCAAACCAACATGGGAAATGGTCTGTTGGCTGTTGCCTCTGTTTTCAGTTCAGATGAAGCCCGTTCCAATGCTACAAGAGTGTTGGTTATTTTGACTGCAACTACAGCACAGGATGATACAGAGGTGCCTTCGTTCAACCTGCTAAGGAATCAGAACGTCACTGTCTTTAGTATTGGAGTTGGTGTTCGAGTCAGCTTGGGACAACTGAATGAAGTTGCGTCTGACCCTGACAGTTACCACGTGCTTTCTCTCAGTTCGGGAAATGACCTACCTTTCCAGTTTTCCACGTTTAAAGCAATGCTTGGAAAATGTAAGACTTAGTTAAGCATTAAGCTAAAACGAATATATGGATCCATAATTTAAAAACTAAAAATTGTTTCGTTGTGGTTGTAAGGATTACATAAACAGGTTACACTGCTTGCCACAAGGCTTCGAGCACCATTCAAATTAAGCTTATTAGATTTTAATCCCTGTGCACTAATCACGCAGATCCAAGAGGGCTTCCTCTAAATGTTGGATAACTGTAATACATGATTTAGGTATCTCATCTAATGAAGCGTCCATTGTTCTATCAGCGGAAACAAAAGTCCTCACCATGATTTAAATACATAAATAAGTAAATAACTTTTCTTTCTTGTTAGCCCTTGATCCTTGTTCTGATAGACCTTGCCAGAACCATGGTGCCTGCCTTAGACAAAGAGAAGGTTACAGCTGTAACTGCACTTCAGGATTTTCGGGAATTAATTGCGAGAAGGGTAAGTTCTACAGTGAGTAAGTTCTACAGAGACCCATGGGTGGTTACTGATCTTTTAGTCACTAAGGAAAAACAGTGTCTAACTAGCTAACTAGTTGTTTGTTTCTAAATTCCTTTAAAAGGTGAACCATTTGTTCTTAACTCTTTTAATAATTTAATAAATATTCAAATGCGATTTTTTTGGATAATTTGTTTTAACCTCCGCTAGGTGAACTTTTAAAGATACATTTTATGATTTGGAAGAAAGTTGCTTAATAAATTTATTGCTTGGCTTGAAAAGCAGCGCAAAATGGACCGCCCTTATACTCATGCAAGTATTAATCAGACAGCTATCACTGAAAATGAGTGTTCCTTGGAAACCTTTTCACTGAAAATGCAGAGTTATGCGAAAAATTAAAGTGCACCAAACTATTTTCATTCTTGGTCAAATCGTTTGACACCTTGTCAATCATGACACTATATATCTTATCCTTGGCAATCGACTGTCCTCGAAGTTTACCAGAATATGTCTTAAGGATAAATAAGTATCGGTTTTTATGTATTTTGGTTTTATGTCAACTGCTTATTGCAATTATCTATGCCCTTAAATAATGCTAAGGTTAATATTTGAACTCTATACCTCCTTAGCAAATGATCCGTGCAATCCCACGCCATGTCACAACGGTGCAACGTGTGTTGTCCTGCCTTTGAATTCATACTACTGCGTCTGCTCAGAACGTTGGACTGGCACCAACTGCTCACAAGGTACAGCTATTCTTTTTAGAGTGCCAGTTTTTGTCTTTTACATTGAGAATGCAAATCGACATGAAAAATCAATCCAAAAATAAGATCAGCTGATACACCATTAATGGTTAAACCCAGTTCTTTTTAACGATCTTTGCTTTGCCATAATTGAACATGGTGAACATTGAAGGTCATCAAGTCACATCCACTCTCCCTCACCCAAAAAAAGGAAAAAGTCGTCTATAACAATTTACTTTATATGGTGAAGTTGGACTCATTATAGAAGGCGGCACTCAAGATTGGGGGAATTGCTCTTTCTACTCTTTTTTTAAAAGATAGCATTAAGATAAACGTCAAACCTTAATAACTAGTAGTTATTTATAAGTAGTATAGTAGGTACCATTTTGTCTGGTTATTAATCGCTAGATGAAAATTGATTGCGACACTATCTTAACGAGATTCCACCACATTTTTCAAGAGATAAAGACGTCATCGACGTTCATTTAACCCATCCAAACTTCAAAAAAGGGAGTAACCATTCCGTACTATACTACTTTAAATTCAAATTTCATTTAGAAAGTCGTTGATAACTCATCATTTCTGCTAGGCATAGGCCAAACGTCGAACGTCTCGTGAGACGAACCAATTTCTAATTTGGGTCGACCTAAATTAAGTTAAGATCGTCCGCTAGGTCAGACGTCGAACTTGTGACGCGTCGAACCAATCAGCTGACTAAATATACATTTTCATACCAGTCTTTAATTTATTAGTTTAGTTCTTCGCATGTGAATATCAGCGTTTCTCTCGGAGACGATCTTCAGACGTTCTATCCGTATGAAGCAGACGGATAGAACGTGTTGGAGGATTCAAAGTCATCCGGACGAACTTAACTGAGCCCAAAGTCGAACTTTTCATGAACTTAACTCACTAAGTTTGGTTCGTCTCATGAAAAGTTTGACGTTTGGCTTAAGTATTATTTCTTATTTCTCAGCAATGATACAAATTGATGTAGATTTATGTATGTTTCAGATAAGCGTGAGTGTAGCATGGTTGTTTGCAAAAACGATGCTGCCTGTCAGGAAATAGAAGGAGACTATTCCTGTTCTTGCAAGGAAGGATTTGCTGGTAAAAACTGCGATCGAGGTAAGACCTTTTACTCCTGAATATGGCCAATTCTAAGAAATTTATCCAAAATTCCAAACAATTTTTTTGCAAAAATTCTAAGAGAAAGGTAACTCTTTGCAAACGTTACCCCGGTATTCCAAAAGCAGAATTATTGTAGAAGGTAACACAATCGAATTTTAATTTCAAAGTTTGGGTGGTAGATCATCCCTCTGAATCTGGTCAAGTAGCATTAAAAGATTCAGAAAATGAAAGAAAAAACGACAGCAACAAAAACAAAGCAAGACAAACAAACAAACCAGCAAAACAAAACACGTGAACAAACAAAAGAAGACAGCAAAAAAAACGTTTGAAAACAAAATTACCACCCATGTCACTATTTGTCCCATAATTTATTTGACGCAACTCTAGATGATTATTCACAAAATTGATGTTGTTTATGTTCGTCTATTTTCAGTCTGTAAGGAAGACTTAATAGACCTAGTCTTCATGCTCGAGGGCTCAGCAAGTCTCAACCAGTGGGGCGAAAACAACTTTGAAAAAATAGTAAACGTAACAAAAGAGGTTGTGAATTCCTGGAATAGAACTCTATCAAGAATTGGCCTGGTACTTTATGCGACAACAGCGGAACTTAAATTTAACTTCACCAATTCTGCAGCCGAAAGGAGGGCGATTCTAGAAAGCTTGCCTTATCCTTCAGGGTGGACGGTTACTGGTAATGCCCTGAACTTTGTAAACCAGTCCTTGTCGCAGGACATTCGACCATACGCCCGACGTGTTCTTGTAGTTTTCACCGACGGGACGTCGACCGATGCTGTAGAGCACTATTCAAAAACTCTCCGTGACGATTTGAACATGACTATTATTGTAGTCGCTTTGGGATACTGGTACGATATGAAGCAAGTAAGACACATGGCGAGCGAGCCCCATTCGAAACATTTACTTCAGGTCAGATTTGACGATTTGGACGGTCTTAGCTGGAGGATTCATGAAATGATCTGCGAAGGTAATAACATTGCACTCTACAATCTGTAGAAACTAAAGAGGTCGTACTTTACTAATCATAACCGTAAAAGAAGGTTGACCTCAACCTACTCAGAAGTAACTAGACCACATCTTCCTTCACTTCCAACCTTGTGTGCTAGGGATTTTTAGCCTAGGACTAGGCATCGCAGTGGAAAAAAGGCAAAAAAACGGTGTCAAATGGGAAAAATATCGGAGAGCGAAGCGAGCCGACTGGTGGCCTGGGAAGGGGAAAGGGCGACGCCTTTCCCCTCCCCAGACTACCTCTAGGCTCGCTTCTCTCGCCCACATCGATTATTTTCTCTTTTTTTCCCCAATGCGGAGCCTGGTCCCAGGCTAGAGTTTTCCTCTGCAACAAACATCAGACGTACATGCCTATGTACCAATTTTTATGCTAGCTTGTAAGAAAAAAAGTAAATTATAATTTGTTCACCTTCGAAGCTTTAAAGAGATCTTAAGAATTCGTTTCAATATGAACGTGCATTTCAGATCAAATTGGAATTTGGATGTGATGTTTTTTAAGGAGAGGCGAAACCCAGCGGAAAACCTCCAATAGCAAGGGAGATAACCAGCAACGAACTCGGTCCACATATGACGTCGACGCCAGATTTGAACCCTGGCCATATTTGTGGGAGGCAATTTCTCTCACCACAGCGCCACCCTTGCTCCCCTGCTGTCTGCATGAAACAATGATCCTCTTTATCGCTGAAAGTCCTGGCCTACAATTCTTCTCTTGAACCTCTTCCCCGGTAGATTTTTCTGTACTATAATGTCTTGACTGACTTTTCCGCGAAGTATCGGTTTATGGATAAATCGTCTTTTTAAAAGTAACTATGATAGCAGAACAGGCTTTGCTAATATTCTTTCTGTCCTTTTCTGTGTTTTTTTTTTCAGCTGTCGATCATTGCTTTAGTAGCCCGTGTAGAAACAATAGAACTTGCACCAGCTTCTTAAATTATTATGAATGCGACTGTGGTGAAGACTTCAGTGGAACGAACTGCGAAGAAGGTTGGTGTATTTTTTTGAAGCTTTACTTATATTTTATGTTAGCTGAAGACTCAACTTCCCCCAGTCAAATTACAAAAAATCAAGTACTAGGTTGCAACTCAAGTTAAAAAAGACCTTTCTTTTTGATTAATGGTCATAAAATGTGGGTGGCTCGACTATCCCTGTCAAAATCGATGTTTTGTATCAATAATTGCAAGAGTACCTTAAATCAATTTTATTGAATCGAGGGAAGACTGAGAGGTGACAATCANTTACCAGAGTTTGAAACTATAAGTTTGGGTTTGATTTCCAGAAAGAAAAACACCTTAAGACCGTTAAATAATTATGGGAATTTGGCCGCTGCCATTACTTGACAGCATCTGAAGATGGTTAGACAGTCTATTTTATTATTATTTTTTTCCAACAATGACGCATGCTTCGTGTCTCAGCACTGATCGATCGTGAGTGAGCCATAAATAGATCTAATTTTTGGTAACTCTCTCGTCGAGTTCATTCTTCGAAATGCAAGGAGTCGACTTCTGAATGAAGAATAGTTTAAATTTGGCAACAATCGCACCATGTCTAGTAGCTTTTTCTTTTCTTTCAGTTTTTAATAGCGCATTCGACCTTCTTTTTCTTGTGGATGGTACTGCGTCTGTTA